ACCTGGACATGTGCCCTGACCAGCAATCAAACCAGTGCCCTCCTGGTTCATAGGTCGACACTCAATCACTGAGCCACGCCGGCCGGGCTAAAAGTATTTATTGTTGATGTCCTTGAACCCTTTTCAACTCAGGAGCTCCTTGTATCTGAGTGGTAAAGAACAGTCTGTTTGTGCATAGAATTCCTCCCATGTTATTTACTCCGCTGACCTCGTATCGAGCTAACAGTCAAATAAGTTATTTTGGGGAAGGAGAAGAGGAGCACAGTCCCTATATTCGCACCAATTGGGCAGTGATTTCTTCCTGATGTGCAGTAATAAACACATACCAGCTCAAAGCTCCACATTCTGCTGTTGTCCTAATAAAACCCCCCAAAAATGTGTAATGTGAAAAAAACTGAGTGTGCGATACATAGCTTTTTCCCACTTTAGGTCCAATTCAGACGTCACCTATATGCTCGTACCGAGCTGGCTATCGAGTGAACTGAATTTTAAGTCACCTCTCGATCATTTCTGGGTTTCCAGACAATACCCTAGACAGAGAAAACTGGTATTTTCTGCAAATTAATAGAGCTCACACTGAAGTTAGGACAGACTGCAAACATGGCAAGACCGCCAGCATCTCTGCGGGTCGGAGGGAGGAGTGTGTGTGTGTATGCGAACATATGCACGCTTTCATCCAAAGTGCCTCTTTCACAGAAAGCCTACCACCATCCAGAATGGGTTTCAGCAGACTTTCTCCTTTTTGAATCGGCAGAGTCAGAATCCTGCAGTAGCTGCTTTATCATATCACCATTTCCCTCCTCTGTGCAAACATGGCAAGACCGCCAGCATCTCTGTGGGTCAGAGGGAGGAGTGTGTGTGTGTGTGTATGCAAACATATGCACGCTTTCATCCAAAGTGCCTCTTTCACAGGAAGCGTACCACCATCCAGAATGAGTTTCAGCAGACTTTCTCCTTTTTGAATCGGCAGAGTCAGAATCCTGCAGTAGCTGCTTTATCATATCACCATTTCCCTCCTCTCCCAGGGGTCAACGGGTTTATTCTGAGTCTTCATTCACCTTTGAGTCAGGTTTAAATATGTCTTTAATTTCATATATCCAAGGATAACATAAAGTACTGATTTATAAGTTTCCGTTTACAATGTTCAATCCTCTAAACCACAGGCAGTATATTTTCTTCCACAAAGTGATGAAATCACATCAGCATTAAAATGCTGCCGTCGCATCTCAGACAAGATGCATTTTCGAAATGTAATGCAACTAGGAGTCAGGAAGGAAGCTGTAGTGAAAAATGGTGTGTAATTCATTGCTCAGTTGTGTTCTGTAACCTAATAAAACAGCACTTTTATTGCACAAACATGTCCAAAAAGAAAAAAGAATGTCACAGCACATTTTATTTTGCTGTATATATTGAAATGGCTGATTTTTCATGAAGCACAAAGGGCTGGCGTATTTTTCTTTCTGACCCTGAGGTGCATATAGATAGCTAGTAGCATAATCAATTTCAAGGTGCACAGAGAGGTAAACTGTTCATAAAATGCAAACAGACAAAGAAGTAGGACAGAGAGCTGCTACCGAACCCTGAGTGCCATGAAGCTGGCCTTGACGGGTTACCTTTTGCTGGGTCTGCGGAGTGCTCGCGCTGTTCAACAGCCTTGTTAGCAGATGCATGACAACATCTATTTTAGGAGTCACTTGGTAGCAGCTGTTCATGTATTTTTTCAATGAAACAGAATATTGAAAATGCGAGTCCTCCTTAGCAGCATGCGCCAGGGGTTCATCAGAGAAACCATGCTGAGTTACTTCATGTCACTGGGAAAGGAATTAACAACCAATCCCTTAAAAGTCCAGATTTTTTTTTTGGAAAAACAAAAACAAAACAAAACTAAGGAAGGTTTGCAGCGGTTCTCAACCTGTGGGTTGCGACCATCGGAAAACACATATAGCATGTCAGATATTTACATTACGATTCATAACAGTAGCAAAATTACAGTTATGAAGTAGCAACGAAAATAATTTTATGGTTGGGGGTCACCACAACATGAGGAACTGTATTAAAGGGTCGCGGCATTAGGAAGGTTGAGAACCACTGCTTTAGAGGGAAATGGGAAGTGTCTGTTGAAGAAGGCAGGGTTTCTGTTTTGGGGGGATGGAAATGATTTAAAATTGATTGTGACACTGTGTGAATATAAACATCACTGACTTGTGCACTTTAAATGGGTGAACTGTAGGGAATGAGAACTGTATCTCAACAAAGCTATTATGAAAACTGTCAAGCGAATTATTGGTTGGGGATAAACTGAGCCAAAAATCTAGAAAATGTGCTCGCACAATAGAATTTGATGGCATTTTTGTCTTCCCTAGTTTTCCTTAAATATAAAGAACGGGTGCAAATGGTTTTGGTGCTCTTCCACATGGGGAATTATGTGAATTTTCAGGTTCTGCCCAGCCATCTCCGAAATGTTAATGAGCTGAAATGTCCACCATGGTGTTATCTGGAGTCTGACTTGACTTTGTTGCTGTCTTTAACGGTGTTCATCTAATAATGCAAACATTTATTTTGACTTTATTTAATGTTTCAATAATGTTCATGCCTGATGATAAGATGTCTGGGCATTTTTATATGTTTACAGGTTATCCCCACCGACTGTGAGCAAAGGACAATAATCAAGCCTGTGACTCATCCCATAACCAGGAGCAGAGGGAGAAGCAATGGTGACGAGTAGGCTCCATCTCTTTAATCCATTCGTTGGCGAACAACTGCTATCTATTACCCTTCCTTACAATCTTCTAATCATTAGAGCAGAAAAAAAAAAATTCTGCCCAGCCATCTCCGAAATGTTAATGAGCTGAAATGTCCACCATGGTGTTATCTGGAGTCTGACTTGACTTTGTTGCCGTCTTTGTTGTTCATCTAATAATGCAAAGATTTATTTTGACTTTATTTAATGTTTCAATAATGTTCATGCCTGATGATAAGATGTCTGGGCATTTTTATATGTTTACAGGTTATCCCCACCGACTGTGAGCAAAGGACAATAATCAAGCCTGTGACTCATCCCATAACCAGGAGCAGAGGGAGAAGCAATGGTGACGAGTAGGCTCCATCTCTTTAATCCATTCGTTGGCGAACAACTGCTATCTATTACCCTTCCTTACAATCTTCTAATCATTAGAGCAGAAAAAAAAAAAAGAAGCCAGGGCCCAGGAAAAGCAAGGACAGGTCTTTTTTTTGATAGATCTGCATCACTATTATCATCAAACACAACATGCGTGTTTAGAAATCAGCAGATTTTCACTGTGTGAAGACGCACCAACTGAAGTCCTAGAGAAGGGTTTTAACGGGAGCTCAGCCCTGTAAAGTCCTAACGTGGATGTTGAAAAGAGGTTTGCCATCTGTCCAAGTGTGGACAGTTGATGTTGAAGAACAAGAGATGCTAACCCCTGGGACATCTGTCCTAGGAGGGACCAGCTGTAGCTTCTCACTCCTGCTCACTCCTCTCTCCCCACAGGGCCTCGTGACTGCCCACTGAGGGGCGGTTTCTAACAGGTTGTCTGTGCTTGTCCGAATGGCAGCCAACAGCCGCACGTGGCTGCTGGAGTTTAAATTCATGAACAATAATAACATGGAAACTCCAGTTCCACAGCCGCGCTGGCCACACTGCGAGGCCTCATGAGTAACACGTGTCCAGTGGCCACTGAACTGGACGGTGCAGAGACAGGGCGTCTCCATCACGAAGAGCAGTGTCTGACGTGCTGGCTGAGCCCTGCTGCTCCAGGTGTGGTCTGTGGCCACTGTGGCATCCCCTGGGGCCTGTCTGAATGCAGACCCTGGGTTCTCGCTGCAGATGTGCCCAATCAGAAGATGCATTTTAACAGGTGACTCCTGGCACATGGAAGTTTGAAAAGTATAAGTCTGGACTTCCTTTCTTCAAATCCCATGCTCTGGAATGCCATTAAAGCAATCTTTTAAAAACATAACGGCTTGCCCTACCCGGTTTGGCTCAGTGGATAGAGCATCAGCCTGTGGACTGAAGGGTCCCAGGTTCGATTCCAGTCAAGGGCATGTACCTTGGTTGCGGGCACCTCCCCAGTAGGAGGTGTGCAGGAGGCAGCTGATCAATGTTTCTCTCTCATCGATGTTTCTAACTCTCTATTCCTCTCCCTTCCTCTCTGTAAAAAAAAATCAATAAAATATATTTAAAAAAAACACAAAAAACAAAACATAACGGCTTTAACTTTTTAGTTTCTTCTCTATGGTAAGTCTTTTGAAACCTCATAGGGGCGGTAGAGTGAAATGGGTCCTCCACAGTTTCTGGTCCAGCTTCCTCACTCCCAGGCTGTGTGACTTCACACAAGGGGCCTCTCTCAGCAACAGACTCCCTTTTGTTTAATGGAGACAATGACTCAGGGGTTGCTGTGAAAATTAAATGAGGCCATTCACACACAGCTTTGGACATGATGCCTGGTGCCCTGTGAGCAGCCATCACCCATGCAGATAGTTCATGTCCCTCCGTTGCCTTGGATGACCTCTTCTCAAGGTCATTGCCCACTAAGCGCTTTGACATTAAACCCCGTGAACTGACCTCCGCTTTACCTCTTAGGAATCGCCTGCTAGATCAAGTCTTTCCCCAACATCTTCAGCCTGAGAGAGTTTTCTTTTCTCTTCTATTTTTTGCTCCTATGGACCTTGCAGCTATGAAAGCATATGCTGTCAATAGTATGTTTACATTATTGTCTTTCTCACTTGACTGTGAGTTTCTAGAATGGAGAGCTAATTTGGACCTCTAACATCTGTTAGAGTGTCCAGAAAAATGTTGACCTAAAGTAGTTACTGAAAAACCATAGAACAGAAGAAAATAAAAAAAATACTTAGACTAAATAAGAACTTTATAGGTATAACAAGGATATCACAAATTATCAAGAAAAATTGATAAATGTGATGAATTAAAAAATTCTATATGGTATGTGGCATAAAAATCATGAACCAACTTAATAATAAACTGGAAAAACTACATAACATATATGACAAATGCTTCACTCCTATATAATAAAACCCTAATATGCAAATCGACTCAATGGCGAAACAACCGGTCGCTATGACATGCACTGACCACCAGGGGGCAGACGCTCAAAGCATAAACACATGCTTGCGTAAGAAAACAGTCAGTGCATTTCTGGGAACTGGTAAATTAAAAACAGCTGCTAAATAAGATTATACACATCCATTATCAGCAAGAAAGCCTGGTACAAATGCATTAAAAAGCATGGCCCTACAGATGCACATAAGCATGGAGAAATATCTGGAAGGGTATACGCCAAAATGTTAACCGTGGTGACCTATGCAAAGAGTTCACAGTGATCTATGGGGGTTAATTTTCACTTTCTTCTTCCTCTTTTATTCACTGAAAATTCTATGGGAATAGAAAAAGAACAAAACCTCTCCCCCTCCCATCATTCCTCCATTTCAGAAGTTACACACCTTGACTCTCCTGAGGTAACTTCACCTCAGAGAAGAGACAGGTTAAAGCTCCATCCTCATAACTTCTCATGACCTTACTGGAAGGTGAGAAAGCAAATTCTGGGATAGAAGTGATTCCGCAAGCTTTTCAGTTTGCATATTTCTTTGACTTTATACTGACAGTCAATAGGAGAGAATGGGGGGGAAGTTTAAGGAGACTGCACTTTGTTAACAGTTGGGAGGTCAAGCTGATGAGGACATTGGCTTCCCCACTGATTCGGGGTTTATCAGGGGGATCGCACTGGACAGGCAGGTGGCCCTTTTCCTTCTCTGCTTGACTCGCACACTCAGTGGGCGTGCACGACCTTCCCTGAGAAAAGCGCCCTATTCCATTTTTTCCAAAGCTAATGGTGGCATCTTCAGTCTGAAAAGATTTGCGATGGTAACTGATGAAGAAAAGAAATTCTTTAGCTGATTTAAACTACAACAATGACAACCATTGCAAAAATGTGTGCTGGTTACTTAAGCACAGGAAGACCAGTGAAAACTGGAAGTCTATTTGAGATTAATTAAACTAATAAAAAATACGAGATAATTCTTTGATGATACAAGTAATTTTGGGGAGGTAAGCCTTGGGTTGCATTGCCTTAATTTCTAGCACAATAACCAGATCATCAGAAAAACGTTCAGCAAGTATCTGTACATGAGTAGATTAACTATATAATTTGTATGCTTCCTTGTGGGGAGAGATAAAGTCAAAGGGAGAATTTTTGGAGTGTGGTACTAGAAGCAATATAGGATGATGCTAACTATTAAACAGCAAAAACGGGCCATTTGAAAAAAAAAGAAACATTTGAGCTTTCACTTAGAGCTCTAATACTCAATTATATTCACGAAAGGATCCTTGAAAAGAGTACGTCTCACAAATAATAATGATCTAATCACACATTAAAATGCTATTTATCCTGCCACTCACACGCATAAATAAAATTGAAGGGTGTTAGAGCCGATACTCAAAGGATTTAACAAGTGGGGGGCCCAGGCACTTACAGTCGGACAGGATGTCCGACAACACCTGGGCTACCCCTGGGCAACACAGACCCGGAATCCCGGCCCTGCGCAGGATCTATCTGTTTGGCATGCACGAGAGTTCAAAAACCCCCTGCAAAAACATAAGCTGAATTGATTCCATCCCACTGATGACCGATGTATTTCCGGACCCTTTAAGATTCTCCAGGAGCACAACGCTGACAAATGTACATAATTTACCCAGCTAACCAGAAGACACCCTCCTAACAGACGGACATTTTCTAGCTGAACACGAGCAATCCATCTCTGAAGAGTGGTTTGTTGTTGTGGCCGCCCTCATTGACCTTGAATGTTATGAAATAGCATAGCATCGCTTCACCGGTGTGTGATCTCGGCCCAGGGAAACCCCTTTTAGTAGCTGGTTTGACCCTTTTTACAAGGAGGGAGTTACCTTCGATTGAAAACTGACACAAAGGTGTCATCCCGACGGACAGTGGCTCCCTGAGGCTAATGAGGCTGTGTCCAGGGTCAGGGGGACAGAGTGCCTGATGCATGAGTGATGTCTGCCGGGGTCTAAGACCTGGAAGCAGGTGTCCATAACAAGCCACACAGTTACCATCCTTGACTCCATCATCTCTAAAGTTCCTTCACGCTCTAAAGTTCTATTTTTCTCTTAAATGTTGTGGCTCAAAATGGTTATTTCCGTTTCCAAAGTACGTAATTTATAACTAAGGAGCGTTGTAGCTGATGACAGAAACCGGCCCACCGCACAAGCATACGACTGTTCTAGACGCAGCTCTGTGACACCCTCCTTCAGCGACAGACTTTCACGGGGCAGCACACGTCGCTCTGTGAACTTGGAAATGCACCAGGGACTGTGGTTCTTGTAGGACCAGCCACGCAGCCTGGGGTTTCTCTCAGTGGGTACCATTAGCATTTCAATATCATAGGTCTTTCCCTACACTTACTAGTAGAAGTCCATCAAAATCAGATGTGGTCCTGACAGGTAAAGAAAACAGTTTCCCGCAGTTTGAGTGCTCATCTGTGTGACAGAGGAGGCAGAGGTAACAGTGACCACTGCCGTTAGCCCTTCCATCACGTGGGTTCCTATGCAGGGGGAACCTTGACCAGTGCCATGTTAGAAGAGTTGACAAATCCACATCCACGAGCAAGTAAAACCTCCTTTCCTAGTTTCACGGATGCCCGGTTCTCAGGAGAGTGTTCCTGAGGGGGAAACCGTGGTCCCCAGTGAGGGGACTTACACTTAGTGATTCATTAAAGCAACAAAAAGTCTGAGATAATTCTGAGAGCCGAGCTAGCGGGAGATGGAGAGTGGCCCGTCACCAGAAGCACAGCGCCTACCGACCATGCGTCGTAGGAGACTCCTGCCCTGTGTCCACTCCTGGAAGGGCACGGATTGCTTTGTGAACGTGAAATGGCACAGGTTACCCATGTTTTCATGAGGAATAAGCCCAAACCAGACGTACATACACTAGGGTTTGCGTCCAAGAACATAACTGGTTCTTTATGCAAATGCAGCTTTTCTATTTACCCAAATTTGTTAAAAATCACGTAAACTACCCTGTAATTACAATGTACCATTACCGACTCCTTCCCCAGAAAATATAACCTCAGAACAGACTTCTGGACCAAACAAGTAGGTACGTGCAACAAAACCACAACGTCCCAACTTCGGGACAGCACGCTCCCGCCACGCGGCTCTTACCTATGAAGTAGGACAGGAGCACGGCCAGGAGTACGGACACGCCTACGGCGCACAGGGCCGTGCACTTCCAGCTGCAGTACTTGGAGGACTTCTTGAACTTGAAAGCGCTTCTCGACAGCGTGTTTCTGGGCAGCGGCCGGGTAGGCGGCGAGTACACGGAGCCCGAAGCCATGGTGTATCCCGGGGTCGCGGTGCTGAACAGTGGCGTGGTCCCCGTCCCTGTTTTGAATAGGAAATGCCTGTGGAACGGGGGACACGGTTACACATCGGTACCAACAGCAAGACGCACACGTGTTAACACGCGGAGACAGACTGAGAGGCGCTCGCTCTCCTCTCTGTCTCCTTAATCGTTTACTTCAAATAGTTTTAAAAACCTGGAAATTAAGGAAACATTTTAGCCCAGCCGGTGTGGATCAGTGGTTGAGCGTTGACCTAGGAACCAGGAGGTCACAGTTTGATTCCCCATCAGGGCACATGCCTGGATTTTGGCCTCCATCCCCAGTGGGGGGTGTGCAGAAAGCAGCTGATCAATGATTCTCTCTCATCATTGATGTTCTATCTCTCTCTCCCTCTCCCTTCCTCTCTGAAACCAATAAAAATATATTAAAAAATAAAACTATAGGATTCTTTTAAAGACACACACACACAGTCACACACAAAGAGAATATTTTAACCAAAAAAAAAAAAGCCAACTCATAAGAAGACTGAGTTAAGAGGGTCTGTAGTGCAGACAGCAGTGCTGAGGCCTGACAGTGGCGGCTGTCTCTACATCAAGCTGGGAATGTGACGGCCTGGCAAGGGGTTCCCATCGGACCATTTCCTGCACAAACCATCCTGGAACCGCCCTGTATGAACTGCCTTAAGAACTTCTACCCATTGCCCTGCAGACAACTCAGCTTAGGACCTGACAGCCACACGGATTCTCACTGCCACGTGGGAGCACGTTACTCCTGTAAACACAAGTGCGTCGGCCGCGCTCAGGCTGCGGCTGCTTCATTTCCTGGTGTCCCTGACACGTTCTAATCCTAGCCGCTCTCCACTAACGGGACCATCAGGCTTGTGGGTTAAATAAAGGAAATAATTAAATTCTATGTACCCTGTGGTGTGTTTTTCCTCCTGAAATTCCCACTTGTGTCCCTGCTCTGCCCGGCCTCTCAATTCCAACAACTGCGCCACTGCCTCGCCTCCAGGGGACACGAGGCAAGATGAGAAGTAAGAACAGTCTGAGTGCGTGTGGGTTTCCTAACGTCCAGACTACAGGGGGTGGTGTGTGTGTGTGTGTGTGTGGGGGGGGGGATGGGGAGGAATGGTGCAGACTGGAATATAACCATGATGTTTGGGAGAAACATGGTGGGAGATAAAAGGGGTCCCCCCTGACCAGGAGAGGTGACAACAGTCACGGAGTCCCCACTGGGGAGCGAATCTGCCCAGTGCTCTGTGGCAAGTCTGGGGGTGAGGGGGAGAGTTTCCAGAGACGTCTGAGGCTCTCGCTACCACTTCCACTACACGCTTGAGGGCTGAGGACACAGAACTAGCAGAGCGCGGCCGGATGACGCAAGCGGCATCTGCACGCACCCAGCGTGTACTCGTAGGTCCAGGGCCAAAGGCAGGCAGTCCCTGGTACTAGGAAGGATTTCTGCAGAAAAGGAGAAACAGAAAGGATGTGGGGTATAATCACACCGTTTGAAAGACAGAGAATTCAGGAGGTAAAGGTTCCCCTTAGGTGAGGGTATTTCCTCATGACAGGTCCGGGAGAGGGGAGAGGGGGAGTGAGTGAGGGCAGGAGATGGCCTGGTCCCTGGAGACAGAGGCCCCGCCTGGCTCCCCTAGAAGACGGAGCCTGGAGAATGGAGACCACCGGGTACGCCAGGAGACCAGGAAATCGGAGACCTGCAGAGGCAATGGTGTCCGTTGAGAAAAGCGACGTGTGGAGTGTCCGGGGGTGTTCCAGAGGGCTCCCGGGGCTCCTGTACCTCAGCACTAAGTGTGCGGAGTAGAATATGTTTATGGCGCCTGGCTCCCCTAGAAGACGGAGCCTGGAGAATGAAGACCACCGGGTGCGCCAGGAGGCCAGGAAATCGGAGACCTGCAGAGGCAATGGTGTCCCGTCGAGAGAAGCGACGTGTGGAGTGCCCGGGGGGGTTCCAGAGGGCTCCTGGGGCTCCTGCATCTCAGCACTAAGTGTGCGGAGTAGAATATGTTTATGGCTTCAAGAGCGGCAAGGAAATGGCAGCGTGTGCCACTGCCCCCAGAGGCCCCACGGGGAGCAATGCAGCCACCTCAGCAGCAACATGGGGATCGATGAGGAAGGAACTCGGAGCCATGACAACAAACACAACGGCGTCCCGGAGAAGACCGGAGCACCAGCCACCCCCGGCCTGCGACTGCAGCCCAGGAGGAGGGAGAGTCCAGACTGTCTGAGCACAGTGTCTAAGAGGAGGGCTTCAAATAAAACATAGGGAGATGAAGAGAGAAAGTCGGTCAGCATACCAGGTCCATGGATAGGAACGATACAGCCACCGTACACATCTATCGCCTGTCTGTCTGCTCCCATGTGAACGCTAGTACTTCTTATTCCCCTGAAGTTTGTGGGACACAGTAGTTGCTCAATAAATATTGTAAAATAAATAAAGTGGTGACCATTGTGCCGATGTAAAACGTGAGTCCTGGAGAAGTTAAGTACCTTGGACAAGGAGCCACAGCTAACAATAAGTACGTCAGCATACCAGGTGCATGGATAAGGATGATATAGCCACTGCACACATCTATCGCCTGTCTGCTCCCATGTGAACGCTAGTACATCTTATTCTCCTGAAGTATTTCCAGGACGATAGGAAGTTCCTGGGGCACAGTAGTTGCTCAATAAGTATTGTAAGATAAATAAAATGGTGACCATTGTGCCGATGCAAAATGTGAGTCCTAGAGAAGTACCTTGGACAAGGAGCCACAGCTAACAATAAGTAATTTCAATCTATAATAATAAAAGCGTAATATGCCAATTAGCCCCGACATCCTTCCAGACGAAGCCAGGGCTGCGAGGGAAGCCCGGGTCCCGGGTGCCTTTCTTCACTGTAAATAAAGAAAGAACTGGACAAAGTCTATGAGACATCTGTTTGCAAACACTGGACAACTGGCAATGCAGCATTTTGATCACTGGGAGAAGGGAAATAAAGGGATTTTCTGCCTGGAGAAACTTCCTGGACCACACATAGTACCTGGAAGGGGATTCTAAACGGAGCATGGTGGTCTCACTGAGTTGGGGAAACGGATTGGGGGTCAGGGAGGCTGCAGAGGCTAGACTTTGTGGGCCAGTGTATCAGAGAGAAGGGCATTGCCCAGATAAAGAGCCCCAAACATCTGCATGGGGTCTCATTGAGTCTCTAGCGCACTGGTTCTCAACCTTCCTTTTGCTGCGACCCTTTAATACAGTTCCTCACGTTGTGGTGACCCCCAACCATAAAATTATTTTCGTTGCTACTTCATAACTGTAATTTTGCTACTATTATGAATCGTAATGTAAATATCTGATATGCAGGATGTATTTTCAGGGGTCGCGACCCACAATACTGTGCCCTGCATACTTAGAATGAGATTTCAAGTGGTTGGTCAAAGAACAATTACTGAGAACAGAACAAACTACTAGAAAGCTATAGGCTAAACAAGTCCCAGCAATAACAAAGAATTGAGAGATGGTAGAGTTCTGAACCCACATAGTAATGATACCTTTTTGAACATCTGGTACAGTTAATAGAGACCCCAGAAGGGCCATGCCTTGATATTAAGGCTAAATAGCCCTAGATTAAAGGCCACCATAAGTCCCTACCAACAGAGTTTACATTCAATCCCTGAAAGCTGATCTGCAGGAAATTTAACCGTCTTCCAAGTAAAGCTTCTCTTTAAAAGAACAACAAAAAATTTAGACTCTTAGCAATTACTGGGAAGAAGCAGGAGAGTGGGAATCAAAATCAGGAAATATAAATAGACTAAAAAAAACAATAATGATCAAAAGCAGACAAGAATTTTAGACAGCTATTATAAATATGTTGAGGGACTTAAAGGAAAGCATGAACATAACAAGGAGATAAATAGAAGATATAGGAAAGAGCAAAGCGTGCTCTTGCTGGTTTGGCTCAGTGGATAGAGCGTTGGCCCATGGACTGAAGGGTCCCGGGTTTGATTCCAGTAAAAGGCATATGCCTGGGTTGCTGGCTTGATCCCCAGTGGGGGGCATTCAGGAGGCAGTCAATCAATGATTCTCTCTCATCATTGATACTTCTAGCTCTCTTTCCCTCTCCTTTTCTCTCTGAGATATATATATATTAAAAAAAGAGAAACGTGGAACTTCTAGAAAGAAAAGGTCCTATATAATAAAAAGTTTATATGCAAATCGACTGAATGGCTGAAATGGTTGCTATGATGCGCACTGACCACTAAGGGGCAGACGCTCAATGCCATTGATTCCAGTAAAAGGCATATGCCTGGGTTGCTGGCTTGATCCCCAGTGGGGGGCATTCAGGAGGCAGTCAATCAATGATTCTCTCTCATCATTGATGCTTCTAGCTCTCTTTACCTCTCCTTTTCTCTCTGAGATATATATATTAAAAAAAGAGAAAAGAGCAAAGTGGAACTTCTAGAAAGAAAAGGTCCTATATAATAAAAAGTTTATATGCAAATCGACTGAATGGCTGAAATGGTTGCTATGATGCGCACTGACCACTAAGGGGCAGACGCTCAATGCAGGAGCTGCCCCCTGGTGGTCAGTGCACTCCCACAGGGGGAGCACCGCTCAGCCAGAAGCCCTGAGCCAGGGTCATGGCTGGTGAGCACAGCGGTGGTGGCGGGAGCCTCTCTTGCCTTCATGGCAGCATTAAGCTGTCAGTCGTACATCCCCCGGGGGCTCCTGGACTGAGAGAGGGTGCAGGCCAGGCTGAGGGACCCCTCCCCTCCAAGTGCACGAATTTCGTGCACCGGGCCTCTAAAAACAGAAACTAAAAGTTGGCAATCATAGGAACCAAAATTAAGACCTTCCCTGGGAACTATGTTATCATTTTATTCAAAGACATTTGGGTCATTTCTTCCTGGGAATTGGGATTTGAACCTGGGCTTGTGGGACTCTACTACGTTATTTTAGCCTTGACACTAAAAACATGTACTTACTGTGTGCAAACACAATGAGCCGGACACATGCCAACATCAGCTTAGACATCTCTGTTTCAACTCCTGAAGTTTGTGGAATTAG